ACGATCAAATCTTCCTTCTTCTTCCCGAAATCCCGTGAACTTCTATTCTTCTCTTCACCAAAAGCTCTCCAAAATTCTGTATCTAAGTGTTCTCTAAGGCTCTCTCATGTTCTAGGACGTGGCTAATGCTTTTTTATAACCCTAGGGCGGCTGCCAAGAGTCCTATTCCCATTAGGATGCTGAAAATCGCGAAACAGGGTTTTTGACTGGATCCGGGCCGATTCCAGGTGGATCCGGACTGGATCCGAATTCCTGGGGTCGAATTCTGCGTTCTGGAATCGGACCGGATCCAGTTGGATCCAGCCCTACACTGCAGTTTTCTAGTCTTCACGAATTCGCTCGTAACTTTCTGTTCCGTTGTCGGATTTACGCGATTTTGGTGTCTACGCGAAGTTCTTGAAGTGCTCTTTCCAATGGTAAAGTCTCGCACGATTTGGACCTCTGTAGAGAAAGTTATTAATGTCGCAACATGAGTACCTTATCCAGACTTCTCCTTTGGCGCTCCAATTAGCTCCTTTTCGAGTCCAATCATCTCCGAAACCTGTAACTCTGCAAAACTAAAGCACAAACAGGTTTTGTATCCTAACAAGCCTAGAATGCCTATGAATGCATGTGATTATCCTATAAAACCTAGACAAACTCTCATCAAAATATAGAGAAGAATAGGAGTTATCAGAAGCAAACTCACACTGGCACCCATATCGCACAATACACGGTCAATCTCAATGTTCCCGATTTTGCAAGGAATCGAGAAACTACCTGGATCCGATCTCTTCCGTGGCAACTCATGCTGTAGAATCGCAGCGCTCACCTCTGTGCTCAAGGATATTGTCTCCTTCCCAATCACCCTCTTCTTAGTCAAGATATCTTTCAAAAATTTTGCATAAGAAGGGATCTGGAGTATCGTCTCATAGAAAGGCATCTTAACCTCTAACTTCCGAAGCATATCAACAAATCTAGACAACTGTGTATCCTCAGTATGCTTCTTCAATCGTGAAGGGAACGGAATGGGTGGTACATAAGGGGGAGGAGCTACATATGGCGGTTCGGCTTCCTCTACATGCACCTTAGGTGTCTCGTGAGCTATGGCTTTCCCTTTCTCTTCAGCAGTGTATCTAGACGTCGTTCCATTTTCTGTGGTAGTAATAGGGACCGTCTCAGGCAGACTCTCTCCACTTATAAGCTGGATGGCATTGACGTGTTCTCGTGGATTCGGTTCGGGCTTTCCAGGAAATGTGCCCTGTTGTCTAGAGGGTTCTCATGCAAGCTGCGCAATCTGCATGTCCACATGCTTCATATGAGCCTTGACTCCATCTAATCTCCTCTCAAAAATGTCTTGCCTGACTTTTATACTCTGTATCTCAGTCTTCAACTCAGTAAATGATGTCTTCTGATCGAGCATTAGATGGGCAAGCATCGTCTTGATGTCCGCTTCAACATTCTAGGGCAACTCTTTTGACTTCGGTGTTGCGTTCCAACATTCAACGTGGGTGAGTTCTGAGGAACCACATAAACGTACCGGTCGACGATTGAATCAGTACGATTATGATGGTGAGGGCTAGTGTGGATACCGGTGGACGAGTGAGTCAATACCACACCTCCGATAGTCTCGAACACATCACACGAGTAATACCGGTTGACGAGCCAGTTAGTATTATTCTGTGACATTGTTGCTTTATTTTAATCGTAAAATAATTTGCTCGTGGAATGTGTGAATTAATTGGTTAGAATCATGTTTTAGATTACTGGTTTAGCACAGTTCTCGATGACAATGAGAACACCGGGTTTAACCCGGGCTACTCACTAAGCAATTGCTTAGCCCTCCGTTGTTGACTTTTTTTCAGATCCCGAGGAGCACGTGTAGCGGTCAGCAAGTCGACGACAATCTATAAGGACTCCCTAATTATGTACGGGTTATGTTAAAATCAATGTTTTATGTGAACTCGGAACTGTATTCCCATGATTGTGGATTGTATTAAAAACGATTCGGAAATGTGTTGTTTTCTTTTCAATTGGTGTTAAAAGAATCGTGCAATTCCGTTGCGTAGTGATAACGTGATATAGTTTTAAATTTCCCGTAAATTTTGTTTGGTACATTTTATTGATTTGGTCCATGTCCCCGAATTCAGAATAAGTTAAATCCAAACCCATACATTAAGCATGTCTTAATAGTTTGTTACTACCGTATGTCGTACATCGGAATGATTTCCTTATTCAAACAAATAAATGGGGGTAGGCATCACGCGCATTTCTGCCTCGGGTTCCCACGTCATATATGAGATTCCTTGGTTGCGCCTTAAGACCTTTACCAACGGCACCTCCTTCGTCCGCCTTCCGATCCAAAATCCGCAATGGCTCATCTCTGAAATGCGTAGCATCTGTAAACTCCAATTCTTGTGGTCGAAGTATGTGAGAAGGATCCGCCACGTACTTTCGCAACATCGACACGTGGAACACATCATGGACGTTACCCAACTCAGGTGGTAACGTGAGACGATATGCCACATCCCCAACCTTGGCTATCACTGGGTATGGTCTGATATATCGCGGCTTCAGCTTCCCGCTTTGTCCGAACCTCACGTGTCCTCGCACGGCCTGGACTCGGAGAAAGGCTAGGTCTCCTACTTCCAATGAGAAGTCACGTCTCCTCCAATCGGCATAGGACTTCTGCCTGTCCTGCGCCGTCTTCAGGTTGAAGCGAATTCTCCGGATCACCTCCGTGGTCTCCTCAACAATCTCTGGTCCGAATTCCCGATGTTCTCCCATTTCCGTCCAGCATAGGGGTGTCTTGCACGACCTACCGTACAACGCCTCGTATGGAGATACTCTGATGCTCACGTGGTGACTGTTGTTGTCCGCAAATTCGCACAACGTCAGATACTTGTCCCATGGAGCTCCCCACTCGAGTACGCATGCTCAGAGCATGCCTTCCAGTGTCTGAATTGTCCGCTCTGATTGGCCATCAGTCTGGGGGTGATACGCCGTACTCAACAGACTGGAAGGACCAGACCCAGAAAACCTCCTCGGACCACCACGTTGAACAACTGGTCCGTACGACCCAAGTCCATGAACCGAACGGACCAGATCCCGAAAACGCACAAGTCCACGAAAACGCGGGCTAACACAACCCACCATTGGTCTGGACGGTCCACTGACATGGACCGAACGGACCAGGCACAATGCGCAAGTATTGGAATTGGATCCGAAGGCCAGACCGGACGGACCGAACGGGTCGGACCGAATGGTCTGAGCCGAAAAAATGGGGGGTGAAAAATGGAACAAGGGTGGATGTGAGGTAAGACGAAGAATTGGAACCCATGAACTAAATTAACATTTGTTAAAAACCGATAGTCAGGATGCGGTGAGAGGTGGGAAATAACCTGAGAGATATTTGTGCGTATGACAGTACCGGTTGAGAGTGAGTCAGTACTGTGTAAGTGGTTGGTGCCAGTACCGGTTGACGAGTGAGTATGTACTGTGCAAATGGTTGGTGCCAGTACCGGTTGAGGAGTGAGTCAGTACTATGCACGAGGTTGAGTCAGTGCCGGTCGACGAGTGAGTCAGCATTGTACGAGACGGTGGTTATGTACTATTTAGTGACACCGGTAGACGAGTGAGTCAGTGTCGCTACTCAGGTCGGTGATTCCGGAGACTCCTATAGTGTACCGGTGGACGAGTGATCAGTACTACTACGTGGGTGAGTTCTGAGGAACCACATAAACGTACCGATCGACGATTGAGTCAGTACGATTATGATGGTGAGGGATAGTGTGGATACCGGTGGACGAGTGAGTCAGTACCACACCTCCGATAGTCTCGAATACATCACACGAGTAATACCGGTTGACGAGCCAGTCAGTATTACTCTGTAACATTGTTGCTTTATTTTAATCGTAAAATAATTTGCTCGTGGAATGCGTAAATTAATTGGTTAGAATCATGTTTTATATTACTGGTTTAGCACAGTTCTCGATGACAATGACAACACCGGGTTTAACCCGGGCTACTCACTAAGCAATTGCTTAGCCCTCCGTTGTTGACTTTTTTTCAGATCCCGAGGAGCACGTATAGCGGTCAGCAAGTCGACGACAATCTATAAGGACTCCCTAATTATGTACGGGTTATGTTAAAATCAATGTTTTATGTGAACTCGGAAGTGTATTCCCAGGATTATGGATTGTATTAAAAACGATTCGGAAATGTGTTGTTTTCTTTTAAATTGGTGTTAAAAGAATTGTGCAATTCCGTTGCATAGTGATAACGTGAAATGGTTTTAAATTTCCCATAAATTTTGTCTGGTACATTTTATTGATTTAGTCCATGTCCCCAAATTCAGAATAACTTAAATCTAAACCCATACATTAAGCATGTCTTAATAGTTTGTTACTACCGTATGTTGCACATCGGAATGATTTCCTTATTCAAACAAATAAATGGGGGTAGGCATCACACGCATTTCTGTCTCGGGTTTCCACGTCATATCTGAGATTCCTTGGTTGCGCCATAAGACCTTTACTTTGTGACAGGTTGGCTGTTCCGATCCAAAATCCGCAACGGCTCATCTCTGAAATGCGTATCATCTGTAAACTCCAATTCTTGTGGTCGAAGTATGTGAGAAGGATCCGCCACGTACTTTCGCAACATCGACACGTGGAACACATCATGGACGTTACCCAACTCAGGTGGTAACGTGAGACGATATGCCACATCCCCAACCTTGGCTATCACTGGGTATGGTCTGATATATCGCGGCTTCAGCTTCCCGCTTTGTCCGAACCTCACGTGTCCTCGCACGGCCTGGACTCGGAGAAAGGCTAGGTCTCCTACTTCCAATGAGAAGTCGCATCTCCTCCGATCGGCATAGGACTTCTGCCTGTCCTGCGCCGTCTTCAGGTTGAAGCGAATTCTTCGGATCACCTCCGTGGTCTCCTCAATATGCGGCCGATATTAATTTAAATGATTTTGATTTTAATTAATAAAATATTTTTTTAGTTTTAAATTGTTTTTTAATGTTTTTTTTGTTTTTTTAAATTTTTTTATTTTTATTTTTTAATTTTAGCAACACAATATTTCGTTGCTATATGCGTTGCTACCGGTATTTTGCAATGCAGTTTATCGTTGCTACAAATGTTGCAAGAAACTTTGCAACGCAATTGCGTTGCAAAGTTACGAATTTTTTACTTATGTGGAACAACTGTTGTAACACTATATGCGTTGCTTTTCGTTGCTATTGCAATTTGCGTTGCTAATCGTTGGAATTGCAACGCAACAGCTGCGTTCCAATTTCGTTGCTAATACCAACAAAATTGTGTTGCAAATGTTACAACGCTGTGGCAACGATACGTTTTCATTGCATGTTGCAACGAAAATCGCTTCGTTGGTATTTCGTTGCTAAATTTGCAACGAAATATTTTGCGTCGCTACATCGTTGCTTGTTGCAACGATTAGCAACGATTTTTCTTTTGCAACGACGAGTTAGCAACGCAAAAAATTTCGTTAGTATTTCGTTGCAAAACGACGTTTGCAACGAAATTTTGCTGTTAGCAGCGCAATAAATTCATTGCAAAAAAAAGTTTTTTTTGTAGTGCTAGCCAAGCGTAGAAGTTTCCCTAAGAACCGTTCCCCATTCGCAGGAATATTAGGCCCTAGTATAGTCGAACCGAGCTTAACCATTGTTTTACCACTCTTATTCTTAGCTCGCTAGACAATAGGCTTCTCGTCCGAGGGTGGCGGCAATCATCACGAGATGAGCTATAAGCCCTATACCACACCTAGATTTTTCGAGGGAAAGAAAGTCGGAAAAAGAAAAGAAAAGAAGCGGGGAAAAAGGGAGAAAACGAAAAAGAAAAGAAAGAAAAAGAAAAGAAAAAAAAAAGAGAAAAAAGAAAAGAAAGCTGTAAAAAAAAAAGAGAAAAAAGTGTGATTGGGGATTGAATACACCGCAAGTTATCATCTGGCCGGAATAGGAGTATGGAGTCACTACAAGTAAGCTGTCAAAAATTACCCAGATTCTGCCAAGTTCGGAGCTGACATAGTTATGTATTAACTTCCAATTCGGGGCCAGATTTTCCATAATCCGCAAAGCCTGAGATTCACCACGAACACGTGTTTCAATTAACCCTCCAAGTAATGGCTTGTGGGATGAGATCAGATCCTTGACTGCTCGCTGCTTTCGTACACCATTGAGGCCGCGTGTATTCCAACAAAAGACTTTCATCTGATTCTTCCAAAAAGATACCAAAACCCAAAAAATCAAAAAAAAATCTCCTGGTAGCTATGTAATCACTACAGAGGGCCATTCCCCTTCCGAGATTTTCCGACCACCGTGAAGTCAGAGGGATCTCGGGAGGCTGAAATAGCTCTACATCGCAGTACTCGCTGTGCTTCAAGAATGAACTGGTCTTCCGAGTCGAAATGAAACTTACGCTGAGAATTCTTAGATGTCTTCTTTGACTGAGCCACAAGTTTAGTTTCTGTCCTTACTGGTAGTATAGTCGGTTGGATTGTTTGCTGTAAAGGGGAATGGGGACATGTAGGTTGTATATCAGGTTGTTGAATCCCTGCATTCATGTCCGCTATTTGAGGATCGCCTGCGTTAGTCGTGTTGGGGGCCAAAGATACAGACGTGGGTAGAGTCGATGTAGAAGCAGATGCCACATCTTTGATTGTGAGCTGACTGTCTACCGTCTTTGGAGTCTCAATGGAAGTCCCTGTTTCGACCACACGTTGTAGGGGCTGGGATTGACGAACCGGGCAGCTTTGGAGCTTGTGACCAAATTCCCCGCAGTTGATGCATTTAGGGGGGATCCAAGGATAAGCGGCATTAACCGTGATTACAGAGCCTTGTTCATCCTCAATTTCTATAGCTTGAGGCAGAATAGCACCTAACTGAACTTCCACTTTGACCTTTGCCTCACCAACACTCAACGGATCTAATCGCATCTTGTCCGTGTGGAGAGGCTCGCTGATGCCCGAAGCTATGTAACTGATTCCTTTCAATGAATATAGTTCCGCTGGAATATTCGTTAGGTTCACCCATATCGGAGCGGACGTCAGGGTAATGGTCCGGAATGTGGCTATCGCTGACCATTCCACGACTGAGAACATTACATCCATCGCCCTCCAAAGACCCACCTCCAAGACCCATTCTTTTGTGGCTAGGCCGGGGATGTGGAACAGGCACGAGGAGTTGTTAATCCTACGGACATGAATTTTTGAACGTCTTCCCCAGATTGGGTTTAATATTTGCAATAGTTTCGATCCTGAAGGCGCTATTCCTAAAAAATTTCCGACGAGGTAACCGGTCCAGTTGCGTGAGGCTTCTAGCAGAACAGAGCTAGGGACTCGAATCCTTGGAGTGCCTTTCTCCGAGATCTATGGGGTTGCGAGTCTGCTGAGGTTCCGAGAGGAAGCTTTCAGTCGTTGTGCCCAGGGATAAGTCTGAGGTGGTGCCTGAGAAGCTGGAACTGGCGATGGAGTAGTAGATCCCGTGGCCCGAGAGGGAGCCCGAGGTAGAGGAGGGAAGTCCTCGGCCGGAAAACCTTGGGTGTGGACAGCCTTGTCCGCCAGAGCCGGAGAACCACTCCCTTTTTTTTTCTTCCCCATTGGCTCCTATGCAACGGCGGTCGGCCCCGCCGTCACGGGATGGAGCTAGGTTTTGCCAATAATCGCCTGTCTCTCTTACTTTCTCGCTCTCAAGCTGGGCCAACGGTTAAATACATGTTATGCGTGCACTCCAACATATAAACATATAATATGTTTACGATCCGTTTTAGAGTGGTATGTATCGACACATAGTTATCTATGGGTTTGGATAAACTTGTGTTGTTAGGTATCATGATGCGGGGTAAGCCCGTAGCAGAGCTACATGGGTATATCACTAAAATATAAATTGCACGCTTAATAATGTACCACAATAAATGTACATCGAATTTAGTTATGGGTATATATACATAGAACGTTACGTATATTATGTTTAAAAACATAAAACCTATATATGTGTAGTTATATATTATAAACATGTTTATTTATAATATTTTATAAACTATGCATCGATTTTATTACGTGGGGAGTTTATACCCATTGGATGTAAAAAATAACTATATAGCACATTGTATCACAACATCTACAATACATCAATATTTAATCATAAAAATGGCCACATCTATAAAAGGCATATAATACACAATATTACATACTATTTATGTGTATATACATATTATCCATATATTACGTTATATTACAATAGTATAAAATGTAGATGGTAACTACGTCATACGTTAATAGTGCGCTAAACCATACCAGTTTTAAAACATCATGTTTGTCCCTTATAACGTATGTTATAAAATTGTATAACTAAGTTTGGTTCATTTACATATGTAATCACTCTAAAACATGTATAATTACGTATATCACATGATGTTTATATACGGGTGCTGATGTTTTGGTACATGCCCTAAACGATCCAACGGTACAAACATGTACCAAATTACGTATATAAAAAGATGTACCCATTTAAATACTATATATGTATACCATTAATGTACCGTTGGATGGTTTAGGAATATAGAATATCTGTGTTATACCCACAATCTGAACAACGTGGAGGAGTCCAATATTTATTCACAGAGCACTCTATAATTGTGCTCACAAGTACAGATATAATAACCCCAATTATCTCCAATACACTAAAGCATGGATTTAGGATATAGTAATGTTACACGGATTAAGATTGCGTCAAAACATCTAAAAGACTACAAACTCTAGACAGATTCAATTTACAAGCATCGCTTACCCATCTTCATGTTTCAATTTAGATCATGTTATAAATAACGTACACTCTAAACGCATGTTATAACGCGATGGATAGGTTTGTGAGTGCATATCAAACTTAGAGTTTGTACCACAAAAAAGCACAACATAATCTTATATCTATAAGATATTACCATAACACAAACATAATACATTTTGATTACCGTTTATAAAATCATCACATATACAATCTGTTACGCATAATTATGTAGTTTTAAGTGTACATTTACAATATACGATGTTTGTATATAATAGTAACAATATATATCATATGATGTGTAAACGTACATGTATAGCCTTGACTTTGGATTGCTACACTTGAATATATGTTAATATTGATAAACATCATTTAGTTTTAAAATACATGTTTTAGAGTGATTACATCTTTATAAAACTAATTAGTTTATACCATATAACACCCGTATAAAACATATATAGATCAAAAACATATATATTTTTTAATGGTACTAGATTATGTATCCACTAATTATTTTGGAGATAATATATACACACTATGCGTCATATAACTCTAAGTTAGTTCTGTAAACATGCGTTAATACCATGGTTATGTATACCCATCTCTATTATACAATATTTGTGTTTTATATAAACTATTTATGGGTATTAATACTCATGCTACAATCGTGTAAATTGTAAATACATGTTTAGAGTGCATGGTTATGATCGCCGGATTTATGCACATAAAATGTACATACCCCGATACGTGGTTTATGTTTTAAAACTATGTTTGTATATCATAGTTAATATGTATTATTTATTTAGCACAATAATATCCATATGGATCCTTATTTATGTAGAGTGTTAAACTTGTGATATACATATAAAAAGGTTTATATAATCTACATCATTGGATATTTTAAACATATGTTTTTGTAATATATAGCCCCCATATATCATCAAATAAAGACATATTATGTACATACCCTATTTATGTGTATATGTAGGACTCCTACATATAAGTAATATCACTCTAAACTGATATGTTTGGCATAGAGATGGTATATACATGTATAAACTATTGTGATAAGTTTGATATGCACCAGCATACATAACGTATGTTTGTATGTACAAAAACATAAATAGTACATAAAAATGAGGTTTTGTCTATATTTACACAAATGCATTTACAATATCAAGTTAGACATGGGGTACCATAAAATGTTTTATGTTATTGTAGTTAACATCTATATTTACACAAACATATTGTAAATCCGTTTTACATAACACGGATTATGGAGTGTTATGTCTAATCGATGACTAAGCGCATAAAACCTCGAGTTATAGAAATCGTATGTAAAACATCGGAGACATAACAATAGTAAATTGTAATATGTTATATGCATTTTACCCATATCTATAAAAATAGTACACATGTAATTCGAGTCCTACATAATTATATAGACATTTTATTTGAAATATATGTATACCACAATATGGATAGATATTATAGTATGATACAATGGACAATAGATATAACTACTGGTTTGACCAACTATATGTAGTATGTAATGCACTCTCAATATAGGAGATCATGATATTGTAGTCTTGTGAACAAGACATCATTACCTATTAAATTTATGTTACGTATTATAATAGGTTTAGTGCATTAAATAGTATGTACATTTTACAATATTTGTAAATATGTCCGTTTGTAATCAATGTTTGATGCACTTGAGCTATATGTTTATATACAATATGATTTAGAAATGTTTGTATTACTAAGACATAAAACCGGTTATAAGTTGTTATATATTACCCACAATTTTAGTTTACAAGTGGCAACTCCCGGTTATGTTAGCCCTATTTTAGCATATTTTATCTAACGCATTAATACCCCTTTATTGCACTCTGTGATTATGTTCAGGCATACATTTATATGGTAACAAATATATGTGCATAATTATTACCCCATTGATATTTATGAGTGCTACATATAGTACCTAAACCTATGTTACGAGTGCATGTATATCTAAACATGCACTCGTAACATAACCGGGAGTTTTTGAACATGTTCGAGGCATAAAGATGACTAAGCGCATAAATATGTTTGGTACTATATAAAAACCATCTATATAAAAAAATTTTAATGCACTAAACCTATGCGGTATGTACACATTTTGAACGCACTTGTCTACATTTTTATACAGTAGAGTTCTTACAGTACATGTCATTATGTTTAATCGTACGATATAAACTTATAAATATTATATGCACATTTTATACATAAATTATTACCAATTGTTTCTATTACCCAAAACACACTGATACTATTTATGTGTAATCATATACTATATGTTTTGCATACAATCGCTATATATGTAATCAAGATGTTTGGTACGATATATGTATATAGATGTAATAAATACCACTCTATCAGCAGTTATTTTAATTGGAAGAATAACAGAAATACCTCTAGTTTGCTACAATGACTTCACGCCATACCCTTCGAAATCCTAGAATTTCAAAAAAAAAAAGGAAAACGAGCAAAAGACATAAAAGACCTTATAAAAAACGATACGTGGCGCAACAGGAAGGGAAGGACGGTTAATCTTCCCCAATCGACACTGTAACTTAGTATTTTTCGAGACAAATTTCGAAATTGCTTCCCTCTCTCTCCCGTTCGAAGAAATCCGGCGAAATCCTATCATTTCTCTCTCGATTCTCAGAAATCAAAACAATGGCTTCAAAATCGAACATAAATGAAAGCAAGACTTCAACTCCCGCTCGCAAATCGGGACGTGGCGGAAGAAAAAACCAGGAACTGAAGGTAAGTTTGAGTTTGATGCGATGCAAGAAATCTGGGTTTTTTGGTTTGAGTTTATGATTTTTAAGTTAATCGTGTGATTTATGGTGGAAAATGGGTTGTTATACTCACCGAAACGGATTTAGGGTTTACCTGGTCACACTGGTCACGTTGGTCACACTGGACTGATTGAGGGTTGATTTCTTCTTTGCAGGTTCCGTTCATATATGATTTTTCAGATATTCAATTCGCACCGAAGATTGAAAGCAAATGCTATTTGAGTCAGACGATAAAAAATCTGAAAGAGGTATTATCTTCTGAGGAGTGGAGGTACTTCAACGAGGATTCACAGTTTCGTCACATATTCCATTTGAAATGTGACGAAAACATGAAGATGTTGCCTGTGTCAGTACTCCTACACCGAACGCTGAAGTTAGAGGAGGAAAAAGGGCAGTTATGGTTTGTTTTAAATGGCGTTCCTATCAGGTATTCTATAACCGAGCACGCCATTATATCAGGATTGAAGTGCAACCAGTATCCGGAAGATTGGGAAGGGCGCAGGAAAAGCGATTTTCGGATAAAGACCTTCGGACCTGGGAAGGTCACGAGGAAAGCAGTTATGGAAAAGTTGCAAAAGAGTAAACACAGTCGGATTGACAGAAAGAGATTGGTGACACTGATGTTGCTATCCGGAGTACTCGACCCCGAGAACAGAAACGATGACTCTATCAACCATGATCTGGTTGATATGGTCGATGAACTTGAGTTATGCGAAGAATTTCCGTGGGGCAGGTACTCATTCGACAAATTGGTAGAACAGTTGCGGAAGATTCTACAAAGTCCTACACCGAAGGGGAGATGGCGCTTGACTGGATTTGTTGTCCCTCTCATGGTGCTTCCTTTCGAATGCAT